GTTAATCAAACTCAAAGCAAAAACGTATTTTAAAAAATAAGAACAGAACTAATAAATAAATGCAAGAGTCAGTTCTTCAGAAAACTACTAAATAAAAATAAATCATTACCAGCATGCTCATGGGAAAAAAGAATAAAAACACAAATATACCAAATATGGGACAATATTGGGGAAATAATTATAGAAACCATGAAAATAAAAAGAATCAAACAAGAAATTCCTTAATTGTACACAAATACATTTAAAAACCTGTGTGAAACAGATTTTTTTTTCTGAGAAAATACAAATGATACAAATGACCTCAAAATGGATCCACCAATCCCACATCTGGGTATATATCCAGAAGGAAATATAGTAGGTATCTTGAAGAGATAGAATATAATAACAGCATTATCCACAATAGTCAAGATACAGAAACAACCTAAGTGTCCACTGACAGATGAATGAATAAAGAAATGTAATGCATATACACAACAGAAAATTATTCACCCATAAAAATGAAGGAAATCCTATTTGCAACAATATGGGTGAATCTGGAGTATATTATGCTAAATAAAATAAGTGAGCGAGAAAACAAATACTACTAGCTCACTTATATGTAAAGCCTAAATTAAAAACAAAACAAAACAAAACGTCAAACTCATAGAAACAGACAGTAGAATGTGCTTGCCAGGGGCCGGGGAGCGGGAGAAATGGAGACATGATAAGTTCTGGAGATTTACAGAGTTTGATTAACTTTACACCATTTACAGTATGGTGACTACAGTTAAAAATATTGTATGCTTGAAATATGCTAAGAAAGTAGACCTTAAGCATTCTCACCACACACACACACACACACACACACACACACACACACACACACAAATGGTAACAACGTAAGATGATGGATGTGTCAATCAACTTGACGGTAATCATTTCACAATATGTTTGTACATCAAAATCATCACATTGTATACTTTAAATATATACAATTTTATTTGTCAATTATATCTCGATAAAGCTGAAAAAGATGAACTCAAAAGAAAGAAATATCTAAAGATTAGGGTAGGATAAGACAGAAACAAAGCTATCTGAGTTGAGAGTCAAGAATTACAGACAGCAAAAGAGCTATGCCCTCCAGGAGAATGACAGAGTCCAGGTGCAAGCAATTTGTCAGTCCACCCTTTGCTAAATCCAAGGAAAGGAAGGGTTTTTTGAGTTAGAGGCATAAATAAGACAAGGGGGGCCAAAGCGTAAGATTTCGATAAGGCAGGAGGGTATGAACATAAGGGTCAAGAGAATGGGAAATAGAAGAAGCTGACCCAGAGGCAGACTAGAAAAAGTCTGCATCCTAGAGTTGCACAATAGAATTGAGAGTCATCCCATTGTAAGACTTCTTTAAAAAAATTTTTTTAATGTTTATTTTTGAGAGAGAGAGAGAGAGAGAGAGAAAGAGAGAGAGAGAGCAAGCAGGGGAAGGGCAGAGGGAGAGGGAGACACAGAATCCGAAGCAGGCTCCAGGCTCTGAGCTGTCAGCACAGAGCCCGACGCGGGGCTCGAACTCACAGACTGCGAGATCATGACCTGAGCCGAAGCTGGACATTTAACCAACTAAGCCACCCAGGCGCCCCAAGACTTCTTTAAACACACTCCTTTCCCCACAGCTTTGATGACTCCATCCTACTTCTTTCTGTGTTAACTAATTAATACTTTGCACTGTAGGAGCTTGTTAATTGGCCCTTCAAGTGCATTACCCCTTCCATGAGAATAGGGACCCCAACTCTCTGGCCCATCATGTGTATCCATGTATGCTGGCCTTTTAGTGTGCCAGCCATTACATATTTATTGAATGAATGAAAGGGACAAGTTTCACACTTTGGAGAAGAAGCAGAGAACAGTAAGGAATGTGGCTGCAGAGACATTGGTCCCAAGGAGGAAGATGTGCATCATGGAGGTGTGACATCTTATTGGGAATGGGACAGCTATTGTGGACTGCAGGGTACAGTCAGAATGTGCAACGTCTTCCCGGGATATGGTAGAAGGTCTGCTGAGAGTCTGGAAGAGCACGTTGAAGATCATCTGTATCTCACAACATAGTATTTACCAGGGAAAAGGAAGTATGGTTCTATGCCTTACTTTTAAAAAAAGCCAACTGCACAAGCACAATCTGGAGAGACTGGGTTTAACCTAATAACACAAGGAAAAGGAAAAAAAAAACATACTTTGAGATCTTGGTAAACAATCAGCTCAAAATGAGTGACAGACAGGATCTGACCACCAAAATTCTTACGCTGAGGTAAGATAGGCTGTGTTCACAGGCTCTAAAATTTTCAGTGATGAAGGTGACAGGCTTGAGTTGCTCTGGACTGTCAGGCTGTTGTATAACCTTCCTTTCTGAGAGATAGACTTCAAGAAGTATAAAGTTAAACTTGAACATACTCAGAAGAGAGGCCCTCAGGATGATAAAGACACTCAAAAGTAAGTTTTATGCGAGGAACAGTTAAGGACCTGGGGCGATTTTGCTTGGAGGAGGAAAGACTCCAAAGAGGCACGATAGCCGACTTGGAGTATCTGAAGGGCTGTTGAGTAGAAGACACTTCAGTCTAGTTCTGAATGACCTGGAGGGCACAACTGAGACCGACAGGCAGGGGCCACGGGCAGACACATTTCAGCTCCGTACGAGTGAGAACTTCAGGCCATCAGAGCTCCCGGCGAGGATGTGGGAGAGCTGCCTCCTAAATTCTCCCCTCACGCTGAGGAACTTCATGTTCCTTATGAGAACTGAGATTAGAGTTTCACAAATATAAGGTGTTACTTTTTTTCCTCATCTCTCTAACCTCATAAAGGTTTCTAACTTACTAACGTCAAATTTAATATTATTATGATCACAATTCTCCATCTAGGAATTCACATTTCCAAAAGCTTCATGAATAATAAGTGGTTCTTCATTTTTTATTACTTTGGGAAAGGCCCTATATTTAGTATGCTAATCACAGTCCTCATCCTATGGTATAAAGGGGCAGAGTACCTAAGTTCTTTCTCTTTTAATTTTTTTTAAGTTTTAAAATGTGTTTATTCATTTTAAGTAATCTCTACACCCAAAGTGGGGCTCGAACTCATGACCCCAAGATCAAGAGTCGCTCGGTCCGCTGACTGAGCCAGCCAGGTGGCCCTGAGAGTAGCTAAGTTCTTACACGTTACCTTATGGGTGGACATCATTAAAATCAAGAACATCCTTACAAACAATCTGTGTAACATGAAAGTCTCCACATTAACAAACAATAAAGAAGCAAGCACATTAATAAATAAACCTCAGAGTCTACGCTGAGAGAATTTGACTTCTGTCCTTTATCTGAGACCTCTGGTGACTCATCAACTCACAGGCAATGAGAAGAGCCGTTATTTGATGGGATAGCTAAGCCGTCACAAGCAATTATGACGTGGAAAAATTAATTGGCAGATACATAAAAGCTCCAATTCTATTTTGGGCCTTCAGAATATTTTCTCCACCGAACTCCAGTATCCTCTCTGACAAGTGACGACTTGAGAACTTTTGAAATATCATTCCTTTTCCTTGTCCTCTACTCTTCATGGGACTTGAGGGGAGAAAACTAGCAGAACCAGGAAGAGAGCAAACTGGATACAGTCTCCTAAAAAGTAGCTAAATAAGTTACAAACCAACTCCCACACCCAAGTGAGTGTGGGGCTCCAGACTCTTGGTTTATGTGTTTTATTCTCTTGACCGAGTTAAATCAGAGCAGAAAAGGGATGTGAAGGCTGGAATTTATACAAGGCAAAAAAGAGAAGGTGAAGTTTTAGCTTTAGTTTTTGTTTGGAATAGATACACCAAACATTTATTTAATTCCCTGTCCGTTGACATTTTTGTTTCACTAATATTTACACATTGCAAACAGTGCCTAAAACAATGTCTTTGTATCTCTGACTCTGGTAAAATTATTTCCTTAGGACAGAGTCCCAGAAATGAAATTGCAAGGTCTAAGAGATTAGGAGCATTTGTGAGGCCTTCCGCCGTGGTCTTTTAAGTGTATCTGTTGTATCTTGCTTTCAAACCAACTCCTCTGTGTGGCCAGTGTCCCACCTACAGCTTTCAAGCACATGTGAACATGGCCAGGACACCCCAGTCCCCGCTGGTGGCCAGTCTGTCCACCTTTAGGTAGTTGAGCAGATGTGGCTTAACCTGCAATTCAAATATTCTCTAGGCACCACAGGGGCAATCTGGAACATCCTTTCCTCGAGGGACATTTTCACCAGAGATCCAGATGGGGGCAATCACGTCTCAATCCCATGTGGGAGAAATACAAAGAAGTTTTGGCACATTTCTCTTTTGATGCTGTGTATCATTCGAAGGAAAGAGTCGAAGGGAAGAGACAAGAAGCTTTTAGTTTATAGTCCGCATTCAGCCTAACACTTTTTGTACGTTCACAGTGTCAGTGAGGTTTAACTTTTAACGGAGGTTACCCTTCTTCACGTGAGGATGATGCTTGTGGAGAAAAATCTGCTCTCTACTTTCATATATCGTGGTTACAGCTCTCTGATAGCGAGTGTTTGGGAAACCTGGATAAGTTTCTATTAAAAGTCAGGAGGAGGCAGGAATAAATGGGGTCACAAGTCACTGACTCATCTCTTGAAGCACACACCTTCAGCGCTCCCAATCCATCTTTGTGGAAAGCCTGTTTAAAAAGTAAGAATGGGGCCTGCCTTCAGTGAACCGCTTTATTGTATGGGTTGCTTCATATTAATCTACGTATGAAATGGATTGAACAGTTAGACATCAGTAGATCTGGTGAGGGCCTCGCAAGTGTTTGATAAATGCTCATGACTTACGGGTGTTAAGGAGAAAATGCCAGGCCGCCATATTCAGTGTGTTCAATCTGGTTATGCTGAAGTAGACGCAAGTAAAATAAATAAAGGTGTTTCTTTTCAGAAAGCAGAGGGTGGATCTTTGAGGCACACGGGCTTCAACAGTCAGTCCTCTGCTCCCTGAGGCTAGGACATACCTTGATTCCCATAGCCGCTATCTATTCCAGAGCCGTCCCACGAGTCTACCGCACTGTCCACACTGGGCACGGTGGAGGGGTAGGTGTCAGTGAGCTTGCCTGGCTTCTGTGCCAGAGAGGGGTCCTCCTCCACATCTCCCAGGTCACTCAGGTGGCTAGAGATGGGGAATTTCTTGGGACTTGATGCTGCCTGGGCTTTAAAGACAGAGAAGGAGTTCGAAGTCTAAGCGTCCATTTAAATAAAAAGATATTGACATGCTCCCTCAGGAGAGTCATTTCCTTAGAAACACACACACACGCAGGGAAAGAAATGCACTGAAAGCCCTTCACTGTGGCTCTCGACCCACTCACCATCTGTCTGTTTCTTAATCTTCAAGGTGACGGTCTCTCCGGCCATCTGTAGCAAATGGATGGCCTCACTCAGAGGCTTCCCTTTCAAGCTGCTGCTGTTGATGGCCAGGATTCGGTCTCCTATGTGGATTGCACCGGTTCTGAAACACCACATGGTAATAGGAAAGGTAGAAATAATCCCTGTGTGCAGCTGAATATCAATTCCCCACCATACTTTATATATTCATAGTAATAAAGATTTGGCAAGGGTCTCTAGAAGCCACTTCTAGCTTTCTCCTGGGCAATGGTACAAGATAACTGCATCTGCTGGGAATCACTTTTTAGTTTCAAATAAAATCAGAAAAACTGTTTTAATTAGCATTTCGAACGGACTTGTGTGCTTTTTACATTCCAAAAAAATGCTGGGTCATTTGGTAACCTCTTAAAGATCCCGAGGAAAGAAACAATGTTGGACAATAAACGCAGCGATGTTTAGTATGGGGCATGCCTTCTTTTGACAGATTTGAAAGACTGAACACAATCACTCCCGCAGCTCACCGGAAGTGAGGCTCAGACAGGTGGGGACCTGCACCAGACCCTGGTGCGTCGGGGTCCCTCTGTTGGTAATTCCAAGGATAGAAAAGGCTCCATTCAGGAATCAATTAATGTTACATTGTAATCCAACTTCCCAGTTGTGTGGCCCGGGTACCTTCATTTAAGCTCTCTGGGTGTCAGTTTCCTCACGTCTCAGGGGGCAAACTGGGGATGATCATCTCTCAGGGGAGCCCTGAGGATTAAACGGGGAATCTCATGTAAAGGGCTCAGCCTGCTGCTTGAAAGATGGATAAAGAAAATTTATTGATCGATGAACTAATAAACCTCTGGCCTTTTCTCTTCTCTTTCCGTCCTCACCCAGTTCTGAGCAGGCAGGTTGGAATTCATAATTCTGATGTTCACCATATCCATCTTTGGAAGCACTGGGTGGGGAAGGGGTAGGGTCATAAGCTTTCAAGCTCAGGGATGGTATAAACACTCAGATCTCTCCAAGCGCTAGCCTCTTATTGTACTGGCTCACTGTAAGCACGCTGAGGGAGGGAAGTGGCCCAGCTCACAGGCTGCTTGAGGCTGAGCGTTCTGACCACAGCTTGCTTCTGGGGCGCTGGGCAGCAGCAACTGGGGTAACAGAGGTGACACGCGGTCACACAGGTTATGAGAGCACGCTTAACGAGGCTACCGATGCATCTACTCCCAAGGAAATTTTTTCTTAGGGGGAAAAAAAAAGGATCACTTAATTCATTCATAAAGGATCTCCAGTTTATGAAAGATCTGTGTTGTAAACCATAGAACACTTGACCGGTAGGTGGCTGAATCAGATCAATATTAATCTTTTCTTGTTGTCTCCCTAACAGAGATATGTGGGACTGTCTCTCTAGCAGGGGAAGCTAGGAAAAGAGAATATCTGAAGAATACCACAGCGTCGGCATCTCTGTTAATATCGGACTGTGACATTCCTACAGGGTGAACCTTTCTGAGCTGTCTCAGTGCCCACATCTCCCAGATGAAGATGTTGGGGGAGCTGACTTCCAAGGTGCCTGGAAGCTCCAAAGTTCTGCAGTGCTGCAGCTCTACTCTGCAAACCATTATTCGTGTCGGCATGAATGACGTGTGTGCTTCCCTGAGCAAGTCTACCAGAGGAAAGATCTGGTTATGGGGTTTGGAAGATGCACCATATCACGTCTCAGAAAGAAAAGCAGTTTAGCGGGGCTTGGGTGTGTGTGCGCATCATTGCCAACACAACAGATGGACCTTCTAAGTTACAAGACATTATGAAGGTGGGTCACTACACTTTGTTTCCCCAAATCTTTGAAGACAAAGCCTGGGTCATCCTCTCTGGAAAACACAGCGGCCAAACCCAGTACCTGTCAGGTAACAGAGCCTCAGTAAATGTTTGCGGAATTGAACTGGACAAGCCTTTTAACCTCCCTGAACTTCAGTCTCCTCTCAAAATGGACACAATATAAACCCACCTCCAGTTGACTGTGGTCAAGTGTATACATTTCCGGAGAGTAATATCAAGGCTAAGCCCATGATATCTGTTACTGCCTGTAAGATGCCCCTCAAAGTCAAGTCGGAGCTCTGCCTGAGAGTTCTCAAGCTCTAAAATCAATTCTTTGTGCGGATCTGAAAAAGTCAACAGGTAACCAACCAGGAGAGGGGAGCATATTTCTATGCGGCTTGTGAGGACAGCAACCCATCTCAGACACAGGTAATTGTAGCATTTTCTTGAAATTTTACCTTTCAGCTAATCCCCCTTTAGTGAGGCTTGAAATGATTATAGGATCAAACGGCTCTTCAGTTCCTGAAATTGTGATGCCAAGGGGCCCCCCATAGCGCTTAAGCTCCACAGTGTAAATAATTGCTCCGGAACTTTCTTGCTCATCTGCAATAAACGCCAAGGAGTCATAATTGGTTTCTTTGGAAAAAGCGAAGTAAGAAGACACATATATTCATACACAAAATAAGAAACTCGAAACGTCATCGTGAAAACCTTACGTCTCAGGAAATCATTATCTGGGGAAGTAGAATCTCCTTAGGATATATCACATTCTAATACAGGGATGTGGTTACCTTAGTGTCCGGGAAGGGGTTCACTGCCTAATGACCTGTGTTTGAAATCAGTGAGTGAGCCACCGAGCTGGCACCGCAGGCCCTTTGGACAGTGTCCATACCTAGTACAGGGCTTCCCCAGCACTTGTGTGCCACAAATACCTGAGGCATGAGCGCATGGCTGAGGAGGAACTGAAGCAGGAGAGAGAGAGTCATGCAGTGACAGAGACCTGGCCAGGCCATTCCTATTTCCAGGCCTTTCCAAGCAAGCTAACTTCCAATATGAGAACATTTTACTCAGGTTTGGAGCAAACGTTAGCATATACATGGCCAAGCGGGGCTCAGACGAGGTGGTTTAGAAATCTAAAATCCCTTGGGGCGCCTGGGTGGCGCAGTCGGTTGGGCGTCCGACTTCAGCCAGGTCACGATCTCGCGGTCTGTGAGTTCGAGCCCCACGTCGGGCTCTGGGCTGATGGCTCAGAGCCTGGAGCCTGTTTCTGATTCTGTGTCTCCTCTCTCTGCCCCTCCCCCAGTATAGTCTCTGTCTCTCTCTGTCCCAAAAATAAATAAATGTTGGAAAAAAAAAATAAAAAAAAAAAAAAGAAATCTAAAATCCCTTACACGTCATTCCACTGATTGTACCTTAAAACGTCAATCCTACGGATAAATTCACAGGTATTAAAGTCGTGGTTTGAATGGTTCTCTCTCCTCTGTTCTAGAGATTAAGAGCCATGCAAATCACGTTTCGGTAGCATATACAGGCTGCCACGGTCATGAACTAACTTTCACTATTTAACATTAGTATGAAGGAAATCCTCTGTTAATGCGGTCTTCCCACAGCACTGGCCTGCAAGATGTCACGGGACACCTTTAACATTGTTGGGGGTTTTCAGTGTGTCAGGGTTACAAATATGCAGTCTCAGATTTCAAAGTGTTTTTCTTTGCTTGTGACATGCTTCAAGTCCTTGGGCATTTCTCGTTCTATTCCTTGTGCCCCGGAGCTGCGAATGGCTAAGGAGCTGTTTCATTTCTGTACCCAAGGATACAGTGAAATGGTCCCGGAGCTACTTTAACACAGTCAGTTTGACAATCAGACTGTATCCTAGTTAAGCATTACCACAGTCACATTTCTGCAAGGAGCAGCTGTTCATTTATGACATGAAACCCTGAAATAAGGAGGAAAAGAAGAGCCTGAATTAACGATTCAATTATCTGTGTGTACAGTGAACAATTATAATGAGCATAAAATGAAAGGTCTTCCTACGCTACTCAGCGTAGGAAGTGATATGTTCTCTCCTGCCAGCGTTTACTCCATTCTTGCCACAGACTGCGACTTCTGGAATGTACCCATCCCCTCCACTTCCTCGGTACTCTACTCCTAATAAGCTCCATGCACAGAGAATTCAAGACCGTCTACCACACACGGCAATGCTTAAATCAACCTCTTACGATATAAAAATATCCAATATTACACTCAAATCTGTACTGGCAGACAAGAAGCCTCCACATCCAGTGTCAAGAGCTTTAGTTTGACGGCTCACAAACTACTTACAGGCTTCTACCCAAGTGGCCAACAAGGCGGTGATCATGTGCTAGGGAGCTGCTGAAGGAAGCAGGAGGATACAGTACCGTGTGGAGGCAGAGGTCAAAAGTCTAAATTTTCGACACTATGATAACGTCATCATCCTCCAGAGCTGGCTTTGACATAAAGGAATAGGGTATTATTGGATAGATTACATGTACTTCGTAGACTGTGCTATCAACTATATTCTGGATAGAATTCTAGGTGAGTCATTTGATTAGTAGACCTTGGCATTATTAAATATTAGTCACCCCCGGGGCACTCACTCTACAGGTCATTCAGTGCGGGTGTTTATGCCAGTGGAAAGACCCTGACCCTTATTGTTCTGCCTTATAGGGCAAGCAGGAACACTGCTTTGTCAATGGACACCAAATAGTCTGGACTTGGCCACGGATGCTTAATGGGAGTTGTGGGAAATGACAGCTGCCCAGTACCGGAACCCAGCAACCTGTGGGAAGTTTCAGTTAAAACTTCAGTCCAGATGAAAATAACCACTGGTGTATAGGAAGCTGGGCTTGGGTGCAGTCCCACTAGCTGGGAAAAGGTGGAAAAGCTGGCTCTATTTCACTTCTTTAGGCGATCCAGAGTGAGTGCCCTGGGTGGTTTTTGTTGTTGTTGTTGTTTTTGTTTTTTTGTTTTTTGTTTTTGACAGTTTTGCAACTTGCATCACAAAGATGGCAAAATAACACCAGAATAGAGCGAATGGGTTTAAGACAGGCCACTTTATGTAGGGACATTTTTAAAAAATTTTTTTTTTAACGTTTATTTATTTTTGAGACAGAGAGAGACAGAGCATGAACGGGGAAGGGTCAGAGAGAGAGGGAGACACAGAATCAGAAGCAGGCTCCAGGCTCTGAGATGTCAGCACAAAGCCCGACGCGGGGCTCGAACTCACGGACTGCGAGATCATGACATGAGCCGAAGTCGGCCGCCCAACCGACTGAGCCACCCAGGCGCCCCTATGTAGAGACATTTTTAAAGTAGGCAGCTGAGGCCTCACAATAACAAGCCATCAAGGCACTCCATGAGTTAAGGCACTCCATGAGTTTAAATTGTGACGGGGATGCCAATTAAAAAAATGGCAGGATTTTAGTGAGGAAGGACACACTCCTGTTATCTGTCACGTTGGGATGGAAACAGGAAGAAGTGAGGCTATGTTAGATTATGACAGAAATAGAAGCTTATTTCTGAATTCTTCATTAAGTAAATTGTCAGGAACAAAGACCAGAAAGGGAATATTTAAGAGACATTTCAACCAAAAACAATGAGTAGGTTTTTTGTACCAAATTAAAACCAACTGTTGTTTTTTTATTAAAAAAACATTTTGTAAATGTTTAGTTTTGAGACAGGGAGAGGACAAAGCATGAACAGGGGAGGGGCAGAGAGAGAGGGAGACACAGAATCTGAAACGGGCTCCAGGCTCTGAGCTGTCAGCACAGAGCCCGACGTGGGGCTCGAACTCATGGACCGTGAGATCACGACCTGAGCCGAAGTCGGACGCTTAACCGACCAACCCACCCAGGCGCCCGTTTTTTTTTTTTTTTAAATCAATCTATCAGTTTATCTATCTATCTCTACCTACATAACTAATGATACACACACACACACACACACACACGTAAATCAAGGAAATGGCACACTGAATGAATATTGGATGATATGAGGAATTATTGCTAATATTTTAAACTGTAATGATATGGAGCTACATCTTTTAGAAATCCTTTAAAAGAATATCATTTATAGATACATTAATAGTGTTTATAAGGTGGGGTGATAGGTGTCTAGAATTTGTTCAATGTAATTCAGTGTGTGGGTGGAGTGGGGAAATTAGGATAACAGTGGAGCTGTATAACAAGATTGATCCTAAGTTAACAGTTGTTGGTGCTTGGTGGTGTTGGATGGTCCATGCCACCATTCTTCTCCATTTAAAAAATACATTTGAGGGGCGCCTGGGTGGCGCAGTCGGGTAAGCGTCCGACTTCAGCCAGGTCACGATCTCGCGGTCCGTGAGTTCGAGCCCCGCGTCAGGCTCTGGGCTGATGGCTCAGAGCCTGGAGCCTGTTTCCGATTCTGTGTCTTCCTCTTTCTCTGCCCCTCCCTCGTTCATGCTCTGTCTCTCTCTGTCCCAAAAATAAATAAACGTTGAAAAAAAAAATTAAAAAAAAATACATTTGAAGTTTTCGTAATAAAATTGGTTTTTTTATTATTTATTTATTTAAAAATATTGTTATGTTTATTTTTCAGAGCGAGAGAGACAGAGCGGGAGCAGGGGAGGGGCAGAGAGAGAGGGAGACACAGAATCCGAAGCAGGCTCCAGGCTCCGAGCGGTCAGCACAGAGCCGGATGTGGGGCTCGAACTCACGAACCGCGAGATCATGACCTGAGCCTAAGTCGGATGCTTAACCGACTGAGCCACCCAGACGCCCGAAAACTGTAAAAATATCGGGACATCTGGGTGGCTCAGCTGGAGGAGCATGCGACTCTTGATCTCAGAGTCCCGAGTTCCAGTCCTACCTCAGGTGTAGAGGTTACTTAAACAAACTTAAAAAAAAAAAAAGATAGAAATTTCCTTAGAAAACACTCATGGATGCCTTGAGTAAACGATTATTTAATTAGTCTGGCTTCCTTACTTTCACAGACGGTGGTGGCTGCACACACACTGTCGCATCCAGACCCTTATGAGCCATCTGTCCACCAGGCGACGTTCCCAGAACTTCCCACCGACACTCGCTCTAGAAGAGGCCCCCACCTCAGCTCTGCCCTGTTTTTTCACAGTTTCTTCCTAAATTGTTTTCCTGGTTGGGCTCCTGCCTTTGCCCCTCCCCCACATCTATTTTCACCAGTGCTGCCAATAGACAAGTCCTCCTCTTTTCTTCCCAGAATATTTTTAAGGCATAAATCTGAATATGTTACTGTCTTACTTGAAGCTTTCCTGTAAGTTCTTCAGTTCTTTTGAGAATAAAATACAACCACTTTGTATGAGCTGAGCGGGAGCCTCTGAGTCCCCAGAGGGTCTTGCCCCCTCTCCCACCACGGTCCCATCTCCTAACTTCTCTCCTCACTGAACCAGCCGTAGCTCCTTAAAGCGTAGTTAGAAAAGTGCTTTTCTAACATCTTCAGCCTGGCTTGTGTTACTCCCTACGCACAAACGCCTTCCTCCGGAGAATTTCTACCCTTCCTTTGAGACTTGGCTCATGTGTCTCGTCTTTCAGGAAGGCTTCCTGGTTACCCGGCTGCGGCCAGCAGCTTTT